CTTCTAATTCACATTATTTTGTACAAGGATCGAGATTATGTAAAGATAGAGTACTTTATGTAATATCTTTTTACTAACATTTTTAACTAATTATTTTGCTTATTGTCTCTCCCTAATGTTGGAAAAAAAATTTCATCAAAATGATAGTCGACAAATCGAGTTGTAAAAATATTTTTTTGTTCATGTTTCAATATATTTAATTATCCAAGAGAATTCAAATTTAACATATATTCTCAATCTTCTTTAAGGGCTCATTTTAGTTCGTTATAGAGGATTAGTGTGGATATATACCGCATAATAAAAAAATTTTAGATAAAAAATATTTGGCTCATAACCAAAAAATCGATTAAAGGAAGAAGAATTTCGATAACTCATAAGTTTGATATGAATAAGTGTTGCCGCATGTAAGATTGTATGTCCATAAAAATAAATAAGGATTTTTTTCCCATAAGTAACGATTTAGCTATCAACTAGAGCCATTTGATAAACAATTCTCGCTAAATGTTTCTAAGTAAGAACATAAGCAACAAGTTGTTCAACTTTTATTCTAATAGCCAATCAATAATCATTAAATGCTTGAGAGATAAATTCACCAGTATTATCAAGGTGAATTATTTTAATGGTAGAAATTGCACTCATAATTGAATTGTTTGAGTTAGCAATCTCAAAAATGCTCGGTTTTGAATAGATAATAAGCATACATTTGATCATCTTGTAGATGCACATATATTAAAATCATAAAATATCTAAATGATCTACATGATGGATGAATTGGTTCATGTATATCATCTTGAATACATTGTAAAAATACTAAAGATTTAATCTTTTTTTAGTTAGTGAGGGCTCGACAATCAGCTTTGTCTCAAAAACATGCAGAATATAAAAAATCATTAGATTGAAGAATCTTTTGGCTCTTTAATAGATGCCTATAAGAATTTTTAATAATTTTTTGCATCATGAAAGATTGAGGATAACACAACTGGCCATGTCGCATAATAAAAATATTTGAATTAGTAAATCTCTAGTTTATTATAATATTTATTTCAATCATTCAAATGTTTGTAATAAAGACTAAAAGAGAAAGCAGATAATTTTTTCAATACATATTTTCTATCCGATCTAATAATTATAATATTTAAGTATTTAATATTTTTCACATTTGCTATCTTGATATGATGTCCATTTAGTTGAATATCTTTAAAAATCAATAAATTTCTATGAGATTTTAAAGAGAATCATGCATCATTTATAATAAAATTTATCTTTTTAAATAATAATATATTTTTCTTTCCGAAGCCTTTAAAATTTGTCCCTTAAAGCAATGATATATTTGCTCTTCTAGGGACTTTAGAATTTCTCTCTTTAAGTAATAATATGTTAGTTATTCTAGAGCTTTCAAAATTTATCTCTTTAGGTAATATTATATTCGCTATTTTGGGACCTTCAAATTTATCTCTTCGTGTAATATAGTCACTTTTTTTAAGGTTTCTATTAAATTGATACTATCGGATATAATATTAACTCAAAATAAATAATTAAATAAATACCAAATAAATAAATATATTCTTCATAAAAATAAATAAACAATTTTATAACTATCACTATGTAATAGAAATTATAATAAAATATAAAACATCTTATTTATAAATAAAAAAGCTAACAAATTATTAATCTCAATTACCTTAATTTTAATATATAAATTTGACCTCTATATTTTATTTTATTTTTTCAATGAGATTTGATAAGGCTCAATTGGGTGTTTTAATGTACGATAGATATGTGACTAATATCCCTTCATGCCACATCTATAACATATATTTTCAGAATGCTAACTTGATCCATTTTTTATTCTTTTGTTATTTTTTTGTTTTCATAGTTTATCCACTTATGGTGATGAGGTGTATTATTATAGTTATCATGATTATAAAGATAACTATTTTGACATGACTCGTAGTTATGTCTATGCCTTCGCGAATACTCAAAATTATTATAAATTTTCAAATTCACTTTAGAAAATGGAGTAAACTTAGTTAAGAGGGATTCATAATTTTTTATTAATAGCTTGTTATTTTGTTTAGACACAAACAAACATGAAATCAATTTGGAATATTTTTAAAATTTTTTTCTCGATATTGTTACTATAGAAGCATATTTGAGGCATGAAAAGTAGATAATGCTTTCTTAGCATCAAACACCTATGATCAATAATTCTTGTCTAAAATGTCAAGGGTCACAAAATCAAGATTTGTGAGATTGGTGTGATCAAAATTTTATAATACAAGAGATAATAATTAATGTTAGAAAATAGAAATAAACATAATAATAAAATCTAAATTTTTTAAACAACATACATTGAATCATTAAATTATATATATTAAATCATTTAAGCTTTTCAAATATATACTTTATCTATCATTAGATTTAAAATACATGATAAATTAGATACGTACCTTTTAACGATCTAGGTAATTTATATCTTTTAGTAGAATACTCATATAAAGAAACAATCTAATGATTGAGTGTTTTTAGTAAATATATATCTCATAATCTATTATGTTAATTGGTTAGAGCTTCGTAGTGGTAATGTGTTATAAAAAAAGTAACAATAACAGAATTTGAGAGAAAGATGATAGAAGAATGAACTTCACCATGAAATATAGTGAACGTAATAGATAACAACTTCAAATAATTCTCTCAATCTGTACAAAAGATTTTCACTCAAACTAACGAATAATCAAACTTATTTATAAGCTTTGAGATTAGTAAGAGAATTGAAAGAGACTATGAACCAATGAACCATTAAAAAGGTGTATAAATAATTGAATCAATTACATTACTCGTTTCAATTTCTCATATTAAATGATAAATTGAATCACATAAATAATAAAAATATGAAATGTTCATGAATATTCATTATTTCATAATCAAATTTTACTTATTTGTCTTTTTTTTTTTTTTTTTTTTGGTCTCGGTAGCAATTGGCAATCACAAAACGTGATTGAGATTAATTTAACCAGTAACTCATCTTTCAACAAAGTTGAATTTGAAGTTCCAACTCTTCTTTCAAAACCGAAAAAGAAATAAATGATAACATAAATCCCATGAGCGAATTGAACCACATATATGTAACAATTTATCCACCCCTCCCCAGTCATTTCCAAACGTCTGCGTGTTAATTTATATCATTCTTCAAATTAATTTCGTAAGAAATTCATTTTCATCATTTAATCAATAAGCAAATGAATCTGTACGTTTGCAACCTATAATGCACGTGAAGTATTTTCGGTCGCGGAAAATTGTTGTTTCGTGAGAAAGCTTTTCAATGAAAAACATTAAAAACGAAAGGAAAAAAAAAAAGATCTCTTTTTAAAATGCAACATCAACTACAGAATTCAAAATAGTTTTTAGATTTTCCAAATTTATATCCAACTATAAATTACAAATTTTATGTTTCGACAATGACTTCTACAAGTTTTTCAATATGTACAAATGAAATTAATTTTTTCAACTGAAATTATGAAAAATAAAACCTTTCTCATTTACATACTTATCAATGCAACACCTTAAGATTTTTATTCTTTTTCATATTGAGTTAAAATAATTTTCTTATTTATAAGATCGATATAAGATAAATTTTAATAAGTTGGTAATTCTATAATTTTTCTTGATAAAATTTATTTATATATAAAAATGAATACATTTTAGTTAAATTATTACAAATATTGAACTTTAGATGGTTATTATAAATTATTGTTTCAATTCTTTATCAGAAATAGCTATAATATAGACATATTTTATTTTCTATATAGCAAAATATTCTCCATTATTTTGGAAAATGGAAACTTTTCAAAATTCTCCATTAAAAAGGAAAATGAAGGAAACGAAGGAAAAAACTGTTATTTTATAGAAATTTGATTTCTGATTCTGTAACTAAACAGACCTGCTTCTGTGGATCCTCTCTGCTTCCTTGTCGGTGTTGTGAACGGTGACCCATTGCAACTTGGCCCAAATAGAGACTCCCTAGTCCCATGCAAACTAAATTGCCAAAAATAGGGGTAATAGGGCTTTCCAACTGGCCCATGATTCTACTAAATTAACCTCGGGGTATGAAACTTCAAACCTATAGCACCTTGCCTTGCCGTCCCCACGGCCCACGACCTCTACGACAAAAATAATACCATAATTCTAATAAACATACAGAGGAAAAGGTAAGAATAATTTAACACATTTTTTTTCATGGGAGGATTGTGGATCTTGAACTATACAATGGGAGTAATCATCCTTCGTTACACAATAATTACTAAATTAAAATCATTAAGAAGTCAAACCTATTTAACTAAAAAAACTACATACACAATCGCTTGGCTATATGCGTTTGTGTTCATTTTCCCTTCATTGTTACCGAAAAAGAGCTTCTGGTTGCACATCTCAACAACCAGCGCAGCACTAGCTTTTCTTTGAAGAAGACACGCTAAGAGGGAGAGATAGCCAATGACTACTTACCAATTAATTATATTAAGCAGTCAAGAATGATCCTTGAAATCATTTTCATAATGTTAAACCATTTCATAATCAATCTAGGCATGCTCAAAATGCCATGACACTGTCGCCAGATATATATATATATATATTGCGAGAGAGAGAGATTGGAAAGAGAGGAATGCTTGTGGCTGCTTGCTTGACAAGACAGCTTTGTACTGGCGTAGATTTCAACACAGAATATATCGCTTGCAGTTTGCTCGTTCTATAATTAATTAAAAACAGAAGGAAGGAAGGAAAGAAAGAAAAAGGCATTGATTGCTGAAATATATTTACTTCATCCAAAACGTAGTAAATATAGTTAAAACCATAAATCAATTTTACATTGCATAACAAGATTTGCAAGATATCATCTTTTCAAAACTACTATATTTATGTGAAAAAGAAGACGTGTGTAGACTTTAGAGCTTTTCAAAAGAAGCTCATTCGCATGTATCTCTACCAACCGATGTTTATGACAATCACTCATTCGGATTTGGATCCAAATTCAGATCCAAACCCGAATTCTGATCAAATGAGTTACCCTCTTCCTGCTCTCTGTCAAGATCGTCGTTAACTTCTTTGAAATCTTCTGTCTCTAAAACCGGCATCCACCTCCTTCTGTCAGTCTTCTCAAAGTACTTGACAGCCACCTGTATCCTCCGCAATATAGCAAAAACTCCTCCACCTCCTCCTCCTCTACTTCCTGCTGATTTCCGTTTGGTACTCCGTCTTCCTTCACTCTCTTTTCGTTCATTTTGCTGTCGTCTTCACGTTTCCTCTTCTTTGCCTCCATTAAAAAAAACACAGAGCTATTGGGATTTATGTTGGCTGTGGCTAGATATTGTTCTTGTTATAAAGATGCGCAAGGAAACGTTTGTCCGACTCCGAAGGCTTCGATGGAGGGTGGTGATGTGATGATTGACGTCAGTGTGTTACGTCATTTCATGACGTGTCGGCATGTAGAGCTGCCTCGGGATATACTTCACTCCTGGGTCGTTGCTTTTGACTAATACAAGCAAATAACACGTTATTAACGTGGCACCGCTTTGGAAAATTTTGATAATTTTGTCCAAATGCGTTTAGATGATAAATTAAAACTATGTTTTGAAAAAACACGCCATGGTCTGATACTTTTCGAATAGAGTTTTGTTATATATATAAACCCAATGCACATACTTTTAAAAATTAATTTATTTTCTCATTGATATTCAATAAGATTAAATTTTTATTTTAAATTTTGAAAATTTTAAGCAATAATTTTTTATTAATTTTTCTTCTTTTTTTTTCCTCATGCAATCTTATAAAAAAACATGTACATATTTTTCTTTCAATTTGCGGTTAATTAAAACTTACGGTTTAGATGATTATAAATATTTATTTAAGAATTAATGCAAAAATAAAATAAAACTTCATAAAAAATAATTAAGTACAAAATTTTAATTAAAAAATCATAAAAATAGTTGAAAATGGACAGCAAAAACCCGGCCTTTTGTTCTTGTAGTGCTACAGGATCCAGAGGGTCCATCTTTTTGTTTCTTATTTTCAGGGGGGAAAGTTAGTTCGGCCTGGCCTCTAGATCGTTTTAGCTTAAGCTTCATTTGATGTACTTTTCATCTTCGTTGGATTCTCAGCAATTAATGTTCAACAAACGGCCCCTGAAAAAGGAAAAAAAGGGCAAAAGCACCGTGCAACTCCAAGGGTTTGGACTGCTGTTTATTTAAAAATGTTTGTCCATTTCTTTAATTATTAAAATTTCCTGAACATATCGTATTGATATAGAAAATGCGATATAAAAAGTGTGTCCATAAAATTATCCCAAAACAAAATACAAAATTATTATAAGCTCCACACTTGACAAATTGGATAATCGACCATTAAACAACAATTAAGACAACAGCTTAGCAACAAAGTATCAGTACTCTATCACATTACTCATAGCTCATAATCATTTGATACAAACTACATGTCATACAACAAAAGGAAAAAAAAAAATCAGAGAACTAGAATAATAACAATTAATATTATTTAAAAAAAAGTATAATAGCTAAAACCCGAACCCTCAAAGACCCATCTAAGCCAGTCCTTCCTCCTCTGGTTCAGGATCCACATTCAAATCGAAGCCCTCATTCTCCTCTACACCCTCCTCCTCTCTCTTAACGCCATTAACCTTCACGCCGCTAGCTTCAACTTCAAACTCTCTCTCCAGCGATCTCGCCTGCGTTAACTTATGGCCATCTTCATTTGCCTCTTTAAAGTACTTGACTGCCACGTGTATCCTCTTGAGGATCGCGTAGAACTCATCAACCTCCGCATTTGTTACTTCTGCTGTTTGCCCTTCCTTATCCTCCCGTGCCTTCGTTTCTGCGTCTGGGACATCGTCGTTTAATTCGTCCTGTTTTCGCTTCTTTGCCTCCGTCATCTGTCGCAGACACTTTGTGATCTGTGCGGAGACTACTTTCACCGACAAATCCCCTCTTATTCTACGAACGCAAAACAAGAAAATGTTTGGTGGCAAGAGCAGAGCCTTAGCTTTCTGCGTGGCAACTGCTAATTGGAGCTCTCTGAAATTTTGAATTGACATTTGGGAGATATTTTTGGTTGTGATTGATAATGGAGTGGCATCTTCAAAAGACGTAATTTTAAAGCGTTGACGTGTCGGGTTTCCTTAGGGGATTGTGAACCATGGATATTAAGATTCGGGTCAAGGAGGGTTAAAGGAAAGAGTAAAGGATGGTGACTTCCAACTTCCAAGGCTTCTTTGATTTTCAGAAAATAAAATAAAGAGATCCGTCCCAGTTTAATTAGCTATTTATCAAATTCATTTACGTTTGTAAATTGCTTCCATTTGATATCCCAACTTTTCGATTATCTTATTTCGAGAAAAATAAAACATCTATTTTGAAAAAATAAATATCCTTCTTTACAATATATATATATATATATATAACGGGGTAAGAATTACTGCAAATAAATAAGGATTTAAATTCAAATTTTGCTCTTTTTTTAGTACGATTTGACAATTTCAAATCATTAGAATCAAATTACGTAATTTGAACCTTAAATTATTAGGTTTTTAATAAAATTAAATTAATTTTTTTAATTGTCATTATATGCAACAATCAACTTAATTGATTATTACTTAAAATGCCAAAACGATATTGTTTTGATATTTTAGTATTAATTATTTTTTAAAAAAAATAAAAAATATTTTTAACTCTCCTAATCTTGATTTTTTTTAAAATTTTTTTTATATTATAAATATTTTATAAATTATATAAAAATATTTTATAAATATTTTTAACCTCCTAATTTTGAATTTTTTAAAATTTTTTATAAAATATTATAAAAATTTTTTTCTTTATAATTTATACAGGTCAACCATTAATTATACTCATTTTACTTTATAAAATATTTTAAAAAAAACTTGAAATTATATATTGTTAATTATGTTTTTTATAATATTTTTTTTATAAAATGTTTATAATATCCAATGAGCATTAAAATATTTATAATATAATTATAAATTAAAACAAACATAATTAAGGGTTGACCCTCTAATTTTATAAATTATAAAAAACATTTTTTTATAAAATGTTTATAATATTTTATAAAATTTAAAAATTAAGAGAATTAAAAATATTTATAAATTAGGTGAAATTATCCTTTAATATGGTATCGCAGTTTGATTGACCATATGATCCCGAGTTTAAATTTTACTATCTTCAATTTCTCCTTTCACTTAAAAAGATTTGTTAGAAATTAATATAAATTATATTTTGAAACTTATTTAAGAAATTTTTTTTATTATTATTAATTTTATGCTAATTTTATGAAAAATAATCCTTTTATTTTCATCCAACCCGACGATGAAAATATATGATTTTTGTTCGATTTGTTATTTTTTAAGGAAATAGCCAAATAATTTTTTAATTAATTTTTTATATAATTGTATTTGTTAAGAAAATATGATTTTCTCTCTCTATATATATAGTTTTTTTTAATAAAATTTTAAAATGTGGTTATTTTTCTTTTTTTCACATACATTAATATAATTTATGTGGTGGATGTTTTGAATATATATAATCTAAAAATCAGAAATTGTATTTCTTTTCTTTTGTATATTTTAAAATTAGTTTCTTTTGAATAAAATAATTAATTTTTTTTTTAAATAACCACTCAATTATTCAAATACAATTTTTAATGCTATATTATTAATTATTTTATGATTGAATACACACACACACACACACACACACATATATGCTTTCAAAAAATATTCTCATCGGCATTAAATAAGAAAAAAAAAGTTTTTATTTGTTAATTTTTAAAAAATATTTAACATAAATTGTAATTTAATTTTTTATACAACCTTATGAAAAAAAATATTTAGAGTTTTTTAAATAAATCTAGATTTAATTTTCTATTTAGATTGTTGTGAGTTTTTGTTTAAGAATCAATACATACAAAATAAAAAATTAAGTTTTTATCAATTGAAAATTTATAAGAAACATAAGAAATAATCAATTAAAGACAAGATTTTGATTAAAAATTATTAGATTAGATTAGATTTTTTTAACCTTTGATTCAAAATATTTTAAAAAATTCGTAACATAGCATAGGATATTAAATTAAAATAATTTGATTTTTTTTAACCCGCAGTGTATTACAGACAACAAACTAGTAGGGCCAAGTAATTAATATAATTTTACACCGTGCTAAGTTAATGAAAGTTAAAGAGCACTGTTACTTGGAGGTGCTGACATGAAAATGGGTCAATATACAATAAATGGACAGCAGGTTGCTTGTGAACATAAACAGTTATCCTGATTAAGGCCCAAATAGGCCTAAGCTTAGATCAGCCCATTGTGAGTGAAAAATGCTTGCGGGCCCCACTTCAACCATATGATCTTTGCATCTCAAGAGAAATATGCTTTAAACCAAGTACTTGTCAATCTTCTGTGCTCTGCCTCGACCTTTTTAGGATTAAAATTAAGCTTTGAACTTCCACGCCTCTTTTCCTATTTTCCAAAAAGGGATGACTGTGCTACCTTCTTGTTATTTAACCGTATAACTTTGAGAGCAACAGTAATGCAACATGCCATTTATGAGATTACCATTAAAATCCAAACAACGCAAAATAAATTAAATATGCTCAAACATATAATCGCAATAAAAATTAATAGAAAATGTTTCTAATGTCATGAATTGTTAAGTGTTCAAGCAATTGTCTAATAAAAAAATAGAATCGTAAAAGAGAAAAGCCTTCTAATTTATACAAATACTTTAAAATTTTTTGTGTGTCGATGGACGATACAAGAATTTACGTATTTTTAAATTTCATCCATCATAGATTTGTCTAACCTATTACTAGAGTTTAATAGGTTCTAAGCCTTTTAAGTGTGACTTATAGATTTTATTCAAAAAAATATATGTAATAATAAACAATATTGATTTAAAACAAGAGATGGCATATGACACACACTATAGAGATTTTTTTCAATTTCCCCCACTTGGCTCGTATAACACTACTTAAAAAATGAAAGTTCTTTTATAGAGTCTAAAATAGTCATTAAGTGAAAACACTCGACCTTAAATCAAGGATACAACATATAAATCGCAATGATTATATTGTCACTAAGTATTTCCTTTCATGTATTACAATATACTCCATCCTCAAAATAAACACATAATAAGTAAATAAACTTTATGAAAAAACTTTCACCGAAAAGAAAATAAAGTCAAATGTCAAATGAGTTAGCTCAACCCATAGGATCCACGTGAGTCTTTAAGATCCCTCCCTCGAATGGCGGGGAATTGGAATGCATCACTCGATTAAAAATCCCTTACCATGATCTCTATATAGTTTTGTGGGCAAGAGTTTAGTCATAGGATCTACAACCATTAGTTCAATGCTAATATGCTTAGTGAGTACTTTATGTTCTTCACATTCTTTTTCACAATGAGATATTTTATGTCGATATGCGTATTTTGACTTTCATTTTTATTATTTTTAGAGAAAAAAACTATAGCTAAATTATCACAATAAATATTTACTAGTCTTGATATGGAATTGACAACTTTAGACCAAAATAAAATTCCTTAAATAAATAGCATGTGTCATTGCTTTATAGCAAGCAACGAATTTTGCTTTTATAGTAGACGAAACAACAATAATTGTTGAGTACTTCTTCAAGATACAACTCTTTCAGCTAAAATAAAAATCTATCATGAAGCGTACTTTCTTGTGCCCACACAATAAACAAAATTCTAATATGAATAACCAATCACCTTAAGATGATTAGTGTGCTTGTAAGTTATGTAAACCTTGTTTCCTTTTATATACTATATGACTTTGTTAACAACTTTCCAATGTTCCATTCCAAGATTATTTTAAAACCTTCCCAACATTCCGATTGCAAATACCAAGTCATGTCTTGTACGTACTTTTACATACATCAAACTACTTACTATATAGAGAATGCCGATCATTTGCCCGGTTTTTAATGCATTTTGTGGATATTGATTTCTTTTGAATTTGTCTTATTTAACAATAGGTGCTACTAAAGATGCACAATTTGACATCATAAATTTTTTAGAACTTTTTCGAGTAAGTCTTATGTGACAGTTCTAATATTCATTGATATCTATCTTTATGAAGCTTTTTGTCAATAATATAAGAGGCTTTACTCGAATTCTTTAAATAAAAATTTTGAGGAAGAAATTTCTTTGTCTCATGAAACAAACTAAATTCATTTCTTAGAAGCAAAATGTCATTACATATAGGAGAAGAAGAATTAATTTATTCCCATTAACTATAAGGCATATGCATCAATCAATAATATTTTTAATAAAATCATATATGATTATAATATTAAGAAACTTAATATACCACTATCGAGAGGCTTACTTTAGTCCATATATACATTTCTTTAGTTTATAAACCAAATGGCTATTTGTGTCATAAAAGAACCTTCAAATTGATTCATATATACATTTTCATCTAAATTTCTATTTAAAATATTATTTTCACATCCATATGATGGAGCTATAAATCAAAATGAGCTTTAATACCATTATAATTCTAAAGGAATCTTTCTTAGAGACTAAATATAAGGTTTTATAATAATCTATGGAATTCTTCTAGGTATACTCCTTAACTATAATTCTAATATTATATTGCTCGATATTGTTAGAAAAATCTATTTTAGTCTTATAAACCCATTTATAGTTAACAATTACGGATCTTTTTAGTAATTCAAAAAGGTTTCAAACTTGATTTTTAGATATAGGCTTCATGTTTTCCTCCATGACATTATACTATAAAGAGAAGTTTTCTCCATTCAAGGCTTGTGAATGAGTTTGAATCATCTTTGAGTCCAACACTAAAGTTAGAATCCTAAATGTATATAATATAATTAGTATAAATTATTGGTCTTCTTACTCTTTAAGATCTTCGTGTCTAACATCAAAGTCGACTCTTCAAGGTATATAACATAGTCATTAGAAATTATTGGTCTCTTTATTCTCGAACATCTCTGTGTCCAATATCAAAGTCAAACTTTTGAATATTTACAACATGGT